GGCGGTCGCATTCATGGCCGGTGCCTTCCATGTCCCATCTGTGAACGGAAATGCTACCCCTCCATCTACCCAAGTGCCTTGGGACGGGCCCCTTGCTTATTACGTCGCTACGAAGCCCGACAAAACATGTATCTAGTCTCATAGGGTATTGATTGACTCCACTTCATGCTCGGTTTTCGTCGCTGTCGGCGATTTTTGCTCGACGAACCCGGCTCGCCTACTTGGCGCTGACAATTTAGCTTTGCGTGCAACCTTGGGTCATTCGGTATTCGAAGTGCCCGAACGGTTCGCAGGCTACGATGCACTCCGACGTCGTCTTCCCGCACGTTATGGAGACGGGCACTACTGAACCGGTAGGCGACGCTGGAACTGCGTACATCCCATGGTGCTTTCACGTTGCGGGCGGTAGTCGCAGAGTAGTGAAGCCGAAGCCTGGCTTGTGCCCACAGCGTCTAAGCAGGGTAGGGGAGTTCCCGCTCGGGCCTCATGCATGCCATCAGTAGTAACTCTGTGATTCGAATTGAGTGGGATGAAGCTTGCAGAGAGTTTGGGGAACTGGGTAGCGAACACGGAGAACCGGAGCGATTTCTGGATCCCTCTGTCTGTCACACAGCCCTTGTAGCCTTGGTGGTGTGAAGCAAAGTCGGCTTGCAGGAGGCGTGGTGTGCAGCATGAAGGCTCGCAGGATGTGTGGTGTGCAGCCAAATTGGCTCCCAGGACGTGTGGTGTAAAGCTCGCAGATGAGTGGTGTGAAGCTCGCAGGCCGTGTGGTGTGAAGCGTGCAGGCTTGCAGAATGTGTGGTGTGAAGCTTGCAGGATGTGTGGTGTGAAGCATGGAGGCTGGCAGGACGAGTGGTGTGAAGCTGGTAGAAGCATGGTGTGAAGCTCGCAGGACATATGGTGTGAAGCATGTTGGCTTGGAGGACGAGTGGTGTGAAGAATGCAAGCTTGCAGGATGTGTGGTGTGAAGCATGTAGGCTTGCAGGAGGTGTGGTGTGAAGCTCGCAGGATGTGTGGTGTGAAGCATGCAGGCTCGCATATGTGTGGTGTGAAGCTCGCAGGCCGTGTGGTGTGAAGCATGCAGGCTTACAGGACGAGTGGTGTGAAGCCAAAGCGGCCGCAGGATGAGTGGTGTGAAGCTCGCAGGCTGTGTGGTGTGAAGCTCGCAGGATGTGTGGTGTGAAGCATGGAGGCTTGCAGGACGCGTCGTGTGAAGCTCGCAAGACGTGCGGCGCAAAGTTGGCCCCGCTGCGGCAGGAGGCGAAGAAGGATTGCAGCCGTTTCTGGACGCGATTTGTTGCACATTACCCAGGACAAGGGGTAGGGCTAGGGCGGTACAGGGGTACAGACAAGGATCCGTGTCCCCTGTCATTCAGCCCACCACCCGCTTCTTTGCTTCACACCATCAACTTTCACCCCGCCATTCTCCACACCATCGCACAGGACATCCATGTTGACGCTTGCCTGCAACGCTGACAGCCTCGTCTGAGCGCCGACAATGGCTCTTCTGAGTCGGCGGGAGTCAATCCGCAACTTGGCCGTCCACCCTTCCATCGTAGAAGCCCGCAGCAGTGTGTCGAGGAGCCGAAACTTGCGTCACATGAGAATTGGGTAGAAACGGCGGTGGAAGGGTCTAGGACCGACGCCCCAGACCCTCTTTGTCCAGTCTGTTCTTTCATCTTCTCCCGTCGCGCACCCTGCACTGTACTGTACTTCGCTCTCAGTTTGCGGAGAAGCAACGTTGAACAGTAAGTAATTGGCCAGTCACGAGAGCATCTACCACCAACACTCGTTGTTCGTGTCGTCCTGCATCAAGACATTGCGATCTGTCCGATACCGTCACATTCTGAACAAAGCGCCGTCCGAATTTGCCCTTCATCGATTCTTTAAAGCCCGGCGCAATATTGCACGCAGAATACCGACCAAGCTGCCGGTTGAAGTATTAAGCTTGCCATTCGCCACGACTTTCAACGCATGGCATTTAGCCGAAGCCTCACTGACGGTTTGTACTTAGCTAGGGAAAGCACCATCCGCAGTCTCCAGATACCCTCACGAGCTTGCCACCAAGATCGTGGACGGCCGGCCACGATTGAGCCATGGCGCGATGATAATTTACAAAGGCTACCCAGAGAGGGCTTGCCGCAACCTTACCGTTGACTCGCGAAGGAACTACACCTCCACGCCGTTGCCCCCATAAAGAAGGGTAGGGTGGCTCCTTGGACTCGGACGAGGCGTACCAGGTTTGACCTGCGAAGTTCTCCTTCAGTATCCTGGTGGACAAAATTCATTGCTGCGGCCTGCATGCATCTCATCTCTGGGTAGCGATCACTGTCGTCAAAGTTCAAAGTTCAGAACAGAGTTCAAAGTTCGAGGCTCTGTCACGTGACTCCAGACCGTATGTCTAGCGCAGCATGATGCTCGTCGGACGGGTTCATATTAGAGCACCCGAGTCTGGAGAACTGCAAATGCGATGCCTGGCGGCCTTGTCAAAGCAGTGTATTCGTCGTGCAACAGAACGAGAACTGCGGGACGTCCCGGGTAACATGTGACGGCCTCCACGGCGCAGTGACTCGACCGTTGCAGCACCTCTTCAAGGTCCGAGTAGGTCAGTCGGTCTGCCATCGAACACAGAGTGTCCAACAGTCTCGTCTCTACTTATACAGTATTACGATATCGCAACTAAAAGTTCAACCCCGAGGTCAGATGTGGCGTGTCCAAAGCCAGATTCGTCGGTACTAGCTGTAGAAGCAAATATATTAGCGAGCATATTTTAATGGTTGGGATATTTGACGGACTTGCGTTATGTTCCAGACCACTTGCTGAACTCCGCTCACTAGACACAGCCTGCGTTGGCGTCACTGTGATATGCCGTGAATACCCTTCGTGCCATTGCCTGCAGTTGAGCTCGTATCTGTTGACTCATTTCACGGGCCTGGTGGCGCTGCATGAGTTGAAGCCGCTGCCGATACAGAGCAGCGAAATGTTGTTGTCTCTGTTGCGGCGTCATAATCCCTCCATCCAGACTCGATGCAAAATTCATGGATGTAGCATAAACACCTGGCGGTAATACGCTTTGAATCCATGAATCATGATTCAGCCCGATGTCTGCAAATACATTGTGTGGCATGCTGTCTTTCGAGTCGCTCTGCCTGTTGTCGAGGGCGATTTGTTGCTGCAGTGCATCGTGTGCTTCTTGCCATGGCGCCGGCGGTGCGTATTCAACGGCGTCATAGTAGTCTGTCTCGTCGACACTAGGCTCTGCGACAGTATCTTCGGCAGCACTGGCGCCATCAAGGCCGTCTTTGCGAATGGCGCGGTCTGGCTCGCAGGTAATGCTACCTGTGGCTCTACTCGGGCTAAGTTGGTTTGAGGACATAGCAG